CGTCTTGCGAACAAGATTTTACTTAGCATTTTCGAACAGTCTTATTTTTGGGTTTTGTCTGCGTTCGAGTAGTATTAAATGGGCGAAGTTGGGTGTGTTTTTTTAGTAAGATTATTGTCTTAGCTGGGGGTGTCGGCTTTTTGATTGGTCAGGCATGCATGATGTGATGCTTTTCCTGTTTTGTAGCGGTTATTATTAATGCGGATGGTTATAGCATGTTAGGCGCTTGTGGTTTTTTTAATGTGGCTGGAGGGCCTTTTGGATTACCTTAGTTTGTTTGTTTTAGTAATGTATGTTTGTACGATTGAAAGATAATCTTATCTGGTTTTCATTCTGTAATGTTTTATAGATAAAAGATAAAGAATAGAATAAAATAGCGATCTGAATTAGCATACGAGAATGATATGCAAATTGCATTATAGTTTCAAAATGCCTAATCTGCTAGGGTATGACATCTCTAGGTTCGTTTATAAACCCCAAAAACCGTCAAGAGCTACGCAAAACTATTAGAATATTTGCATGTCCGAACATTTCTGTCTACGCACGAAACCTGTCTTCACAGCGACTGATTAGAAAACGGGGAGGTTTCACCGTGATGAATAGAACGCTGAGAAATTTAAATATATGCATCAAATTCAATGTAGATATTTATTTTCCTGCTTTCATGAGGTAGCACTCGCCTGTGTTAATAGGGATTGATATTTCTAGAGCTTGTAGATAGAATTAATTGTGTTTTTCTAAGCAGACGTTAGTGTTATTCGTTGCTTTTCTTGAATCAAAAAGAGCTGTGTAAAGATTTTTTTTTCTTTTATTTTCAAAATCCTTTAGTTTAGAAATTCACTACTCTTTTTTGTTTATTTTTACCTCTATGCCTATCTTTCCTTCTCTCTAAGCACGCATAGGTCATACAGCGAAGGGAAAAACTACACATATTTATAGGGTGAGGACAGATGGAGACGATGAAATAGAAAACATGAACAAACAAACAGAGAGAAGATAAAAAAATGAAAATGCAAACTTCCTAGTTCTACTGATCAGTTAAAATAGGTGCATGAATGGTCACGCGATATACAGAAAAGAAAATCAAAAAAATCATCGTGATAACTGAATAGACAGACCACGTAAGGAAAAGGGGAAAAAATACAAGTGCTCATCACGTGTACGACCACGTGCTATCAATGTGACCGGATATTATGTAGCTCGAGAAATTGCAGGACATAACAGGAGCGTAAATTTAGAGTAAAAATCAGCATTGCTCTCATATTTTATGCTTTCTCAGTAGGTGTACACGTGACATACATGACAAGCATAAAACTAAGCATTTTTTGGCTTCTGTTACGTGCTTTGCGTTTAGCGACGATCGGAGCTGCTTCTAATGTTATGCACTTAGTTTCTTAGTGATAAGTAAGTATCTAGATCGCAGTTTTACCTTTAAAACAAGAGATTCTATGATAACACGCTATTTTATATAAGTGCATGCTTATCGAATTGAAAATAAATCTTATACAACGGTATTTGTGTGAAACTTATCGGTGTAGATCATCTGCTCTTATGACAGATGAAACTACGATACAGTTAACCTATAATAAAGATGGAATGCCTATATCATAATATACGAGGTGTTTTTGACCACTTTCCTTACATCTACTGTATGACACTTCTTCACTGAGCTAAGTTTATAGTGTTGTTCCGCTGAAACCATTCGCAGCAGAAATATTGCATTATATTATCCTACCCATATATAAACTTACACTTAACAAAAGAAAGACTTTCATGCCAAACGAAAAAGGTAACCAGAAACAGAGAAGCTCTGTATCGACATCATTTGAATAGTCTTCTAAGATTAACAAAATATTTCTGACTTTAAATGTTTAGCCATAAAGATTTACCAATCAACATGATATGTATGTCATTTTCTGTTAAAAATAAGTTTCATTTGCCTCTTTGTGATATAAGATGACAACGGATAGAAAAAATAAGTTTTATTGCTTTGGACGACTAAAGAACAGATTACAATCAATATTATATCAAAAAAGTTTTCGCTGATTTATAAGATAAAAGAGTTATATCCATAGCTTCTAGTCTAATTTTGGACGATCGGGATCATGTTTAATTTGTCGATAGTCATGTATGTGAATTAATTTTGTATTTTTATATCCTTCTTCTGTTTCAACCTTATCTTCTGGTCGATCACCTGGACTGTGATGGTGTGTAAGTGAAGTAGATGGATTTTTAATAAGCCATCGAAGAAGCGAAAATCCAGCTATTGAGACACCACAAACCGTAATAAGAAGCAGTGGTACCAACGAATAATTTTGTTTTAAACCTTTCCATGATAGACCAGGCAAAACTGTACGTGGTGACTCGGATAACTTCTTATTTGATTGACCACTAATCATCATTTCAACGATTATTCAAAAGATTTATATGCTTTATATCCAGTCAGATATGTGAATGACTCGTAATAAAGCAAAAAGATACAGAATGAGAAAGAATATACAAGCGACTAACAATAGAACTGCGACAAAACCATTTCTCTTTTCAGAAGAATTTTCTTTTTCTTTCTTATGCTTTTTTCTCTGTGATATAGTATAAAATGTATAGAACATGCTATTTTTTTTCTTCTGTGCATACGTTAAAAATATGAAGAAAAAGAACGACTCTATATTCAGTAGTGTATAAATCACATGGACCATTCGACCGAGAAATCTTTTTTTCATTCTTCAACTCATCCATCGTTCTAAAACATTCATCATATGAAGAGAAGGAAAATTTTTTTTAGTTTAACAAACACATCTATTGTGTGATGGATGTCATGAATCAATATTGTACAGTAAGAACGAAAAATTTCTTTCATGTATAAACCTACACGTGTTCAAACACATCAAAATATACTTTGATATGCGCGGTGTGCGGTGTCCATAAAAAGTTTGGTTTCAACTACTAAGCATTATTGACAAACATGTAACAGAAAGTTAACCTCAAAATAAGGCTAAAAAATTTTTTTTTCTGTATCTGACAGGAATATGATTAGAAATAGCTCTGATTCTTAATCTAGGCTCTTTGATATTTGTAATGGCGAAAGAAGTTGGTCTTTGATTGTAGACTAGAGGAGAAATCACAGAGTTTTCGGAACACCTAAGCATAACATATTTCGACACTTAGTACAAACATTTGTAGAATATGTTTCCTCCATTTCCGCCTTATCCAGAAATTCTCGAAGTTTGGCATATTGCGCAAAAATGCGCAGTTGTTCGTGTGCCGAGATATACGTTTTCCAAAGAAACCTTATATTTTCACATAAAATCTAATTTTTTCAGCATATGACCGTTTGTCACAAAAACTAACGGCATATTCAGAATCAGCTCACCAAACTAGATCTAGTCATGCGTAAAATGATACGCGTTGGATCGACAGAGTATCTATTTAAATTCTCTCATCGACTTAGAAAAATGAGTTTTTCTGAAGACGTTTATTTTTTCTTAAAAAACATCGCAAATGACTAAACAATGATAAATCATCTAGGCAAAATCCACTTACGACCAACAACTTCTGATGCATCACATTGCAGTATTTACTTGCCACATTATGCCAAGGACAATACTTTTATTTACTATAGATAATTACCTTTTTCTACCATAAATTGGAGCAAACTGTCCAAGCAAAAAAAAATGGAGCTAGAATCGGGCGGTTGGAGCTAGATATCACGGTTTTCGACCCGGTTAAGCTAGATCCACCTTAAAAAGTTTAACCTAGGATCGGCCGGTTCAACCTACTTTTGAGTGGTTGGGGAGGTTATAAGCTAGGTTAACCGACCGATCGATCTAGCTCAAACCGAGCAATTAACCGTCCGGTTCAGCTAGTTCTAGACATGAAATGCATTAGATACGGGGAAGTTATCAAGTAGATTAATCTACAGGTAAACCGGGTGGTTGGAATGCCCAGTTAATCGCGTAGCTTAAAAAATGAAGATGGAATATGTGCCTAACGAGAATCGTAAGATGTAAACGTCTTTTCTTTCTATACATGGCTAACGTTTGGTTACGAAACGAGCCAAAATGAGTAATGCTATTCTCTTTCCTTTCACTACTTTCACATTCATGAATGTGAAAGGTTTATTTCATATGCTGTAAAAATGTGTCGATACATTTCACTCAGTATGCGAAAGGATGTTCATTTCACACTTTCACGAAAACGATTAGCGCATAGAGAGACAGAAAAAAAAATAGATATATGACATGAATGAAAGTGAAAGTTTCGTTATTCATTCTCCTTTCGTCCAAACGAAACAGTACTATATATAAACCAGAGCTCCGTATGGACTGGACTCAAATTTTTTAGATTTCATGGACTCGGATTGGACTGGACTCAGTACGGAACTCTGATATAAACACTACTATATACGTATAGCTTAACAGAAAAGAAAATAATTTCTATTTTATATTATAGAAATGCCTTCGTGATTGGGAAGGATATAAAGAAGATTATTGCTTATTCTGTTGGTGTAAACAAACTGTTTTGAGATACTTCAGCTGACTTTTGTAATAGTCTAATAATTATGGGAATTTTGTAAAAATGCTTCGTTACGATGAACCTACGCTTGTATGGATGAACCTCCAGAAGAATTTTCGTATAAAATATGAATACTTTAGTATTGGACTGCTTCTTATGAAATTGTCAAAAGTATAAAGAATAAGCTTACCAGGAAAACTCGGATCAAAGCTGTTGGTGTTGATTATATATAATCAAGTCTAAAAAGCCTTTTTGCACTATTCATTCTCTATAGAAAAGAAATCCGACTGTTTTCAATATTACGCACTAGGAAACCTTACTACATTGTGATTCTATTTCTCTTTACACTGATAAAGTCTGATCTTGATTATGAGACAAAACGGCTGTTTCTGAAAAGAAAATTCATTTAGTTTTAGGAATCGAGCATTGAGCAGAGTTTTAAAAT